TTTTTAAATATGGGCATACTTAAAAATGACTARATCACTTGATGGAAGAGCTATGCCTATTACATGACAAAAATCAGTGTGGGGACTCTATCATCTACTGCATCTCTCAGATTCAGAAGTAATTGGTAGTGGGGAATCTTCTCTGTTTTCTTGTAGCTTTATTAACCAATTTCCTGAGTTCATTATAGATCTACTAATAAAAATAGCTGAAAAGGTTACTATTATACTCATATACTCTGTACCTAGTCACCAATGGTGTTCCCTGGGGGTCTATACTGAGACTAGTCAGCTTGACATCTACGTTAATGATGTGCATGATGGGACCATGTGCAACCTCAGCAAGTTTGCAGACAGTACAAAACTAGGAGGAGTGGCTGAGACGCGAGAGGGTCGTGCTGCCCTGAACACCAACCTCAACCTCAACGCTGGAGAAATGGGCAGACAGGAACCTCRGGAGCTTCAACGTAGAGAAGTGCGAAGTCCTGCACCTGAGGACAAACAACTCCAGGCACCAGCACCAAGTTAAACTTGGCCACCAATGAGCCCTTGCAGCAAGGAACCCAATGGCACCTTGGGCTGCATTAGGAGGAGCATTGCCAGATGGTGAGGGCATCCCCTCCCATGAGGAGATCCTGCACCTCTGCTAGCCCAGGGGAGGTCACACCTGGAGGGCTGTGCCCCATTCTTCCCTGGGCAAGACAGACACGGAGCTACTGGAGAGATAGAGCCCCAATGAAGGGGGGTGGTGATGAAGGGGCTGCAGTTTCTCTCCTCTCTGAAGAGGCTGAGAGCTGGTACTGCTCACCCTGCAGAAGGGAAGGCTGATGGAGACCTTATCAACTGTGTATAAATATCTGAAGGGAGGGAAAGGCTCTTGTCAGTGGTGGCCAATGACAGAACAAGAAACAACAAGCACAAATGGGAATTCAGGAAATTTCACTTGAGCATGAGAGAACATTTCTTCACTAAGAGGGCAGCTGAACATTGGACAGGTTGCCTGGACAGCTTGGGGAGTTTCCTTCCTTGGGGATATTCAGGACCTGAATGGACAAGATCCTGGGAGCTTGCTGTAGGTGACCTTGTCTGAGCAGGGGGCCTCGACGAGGTGACCTCCATAGGTCCCCTACAACTCCATCTATTCAGTGACTCTGTGAATATGCTTTGAAGGATAATGGAGCAGAGCCTAGATGGTGCTGTCCATTATGAGATGGCCTGCATTTGGTTGCAGGTGTTGTTGGTGTCAGCTGTTGCAAGACACTAATAGCCTGCTCAAAAAGTGTTCGAGAGGYTGCTGAGGTGCCTTCCATGAAGAAGAATATATTGCCAGAGGAAAATGGGGAACAATTTCACCAGACTCCATACAGTATGCCATGATAGGGCAACCAAGATGATTAAGGGAATGGAACGTCTCTCATATGAGGAGAGACTGAGTGAGTTGGACCTGTTTTCTCTGGAGAAGAGAAGGCTGAGAGGGGATCTGATTAACATGTATAAGTTCATGAAGGGGGAATGTAGGGAAGAAGAGGTCAAGCTCTTCTCAGTGGTGGCCAGGGACAGGACAAGGGGCAATGGGTGCAAGTTGCAACACAGGCAGTTCCATCTGGATGTGAGGAAGAACTTCTTCMCTGTGAGGGTGACAGAGCCCTGGCACAGGCTGCCCAGGGAGGCTGTGGAGTCTCCTTCTCTGGAGGTCTTCAAAACCTGCCTGGATGTCACCCTGTGCCCTGTGCTCTTSATGTCCCTGCTGGAGCAGAGGAGTTGGACTRGATGATCTCYRGAGGTTCCTTCCAACCTCATCCATTCTGTGATTCTGTAGTTCTGTGATAAAACCTGATAGCTCCCTCATAAACTTTTTCAGATTCTCAACTCAGCTAGAGAAGTTGGAGAGTGTCAGAGGGGGCATCTTTCACTGTGGACAACTGGGCAGTGATTTTCCCTCTGCTGCCCACAGATCTGTCTCCATGATCCAGAGCCCCCACTGACTCCACCAGCAGCTCCGAGGGAAGCAGCCCCGCTCCACGGCCAAGGTGAGCGAGCGCGGCGGAGCGCTCGAGTATAATGAAGGGCTGTAGCCGCGTTATCTCTCCCCATCTCTTCCGTCTTGCTCTGGTGGCCTTCCCTCTCAGACTGAAACACAAGGAGGAGAGTAACATAGCGCTTCCTCTTGCCTGGTGTTTGCTTGTTATTCCAGCTAATTTGCTCCAAGAGAAGAAATAAACTGCGCTTTAAACACCACCATTAATTCTGGCCTTTTTAGTTCAACAGTACCACACTCGGCATCTAAAAAAAATATAGTGTAAAATAGTGAAAAAAAAMCCCACTTTTTTCCTACTTTTTTTTTCCTCTCTTTTTTAATTAAAAGAAAAAAATCCCCATCTCCTTTCCTCACTTACCGGGCTGATTGACAAAGTGAGCAGAACTCGTGTTCTCGCACCGCCGGGTATCTATTACATGAGAACTTTCTTCTGGCGCCAGGAGGTATTTGGAGACTTTGCCCGGCTGCTCCACGGGGGAAGCCGCGCGGAGAGTCGGGGATACCTGAGCAAAAACCACTGCTGGCCGAAACCCTGGGGACAACGATCCTTAGCAGCTCATAAAGTCTCCTTGTCTATCCCAGGGTATTTCATTGGAAATGTTAGGGGAAACGGAGGAAGGTGTAAATAAAGGCAATTTTTTTTTTTTTTTTTTTTTTTCCAGCGAGGAAGATGCTCTCACCTTGTGCTGCTGTGCGGGAAGAGCCTCCCCCTTGGGGGAATCCGCTTCCCCCCACACACATACACACATTTCCAGTAACTAACTGGTGGGGCTGCGTGTCCCGCACGCCGGGGCGACGCTCGCAAGCCCCACACGGAGGGACAACTGGGACCCTGTCACCCTTCACTGGGTGCCCTGCAGGGGTGCAGTTTGCCTCGGGTGGCGTGGAGCAAAGGCTGCGGCGCATCCACCTGCTCTTCCTACGCAGGCAGCAGGGCACGGGAGCCCTTTCTGCTCTATTTTTCCCCTTCCAAACCGCTGCTGCAAAAATACTTGGACTCCTCTTTACTCCAGGTCGTTGCTTCACACTTGTTTACCCAAGTTCCCGCCTAAGCTCCCGGGCAAATCCTTGCCAGGGGGCAAAGGGAAGGGCTTCYTGGCTCAGGGTCGCAGGTCTCAGGGGAGTCGCTCACGCTCAATTCACGCTCTTCGGGTGTAAAATCGAAGTGACTCGCGAGGCTCCCTCTCGATTTTCCTTATCTTGTACTAACCCAAAACGGGGCAAAGATGACCTGAGAATTTGGCTTTTCTCCCCCCATTCCCTTCCACCCCGCTCCTCCGTCTTGCCATTAAATCAGACGAAGTGTCCATTACGAGAGGCCTTTAATCCGCCGAGGAAGAGGTAAGCGCCGAAGGTGAGATTTGCCATCGTGGCTTTTAAGGCCGGGTACCATTTTCCTCTTTGTTTAAAGAAATTCAGCACTTTCCCTCCATCAATCTTTAGCAGGGAAAGCGTTCAGCCCGCACCTGTATAAACAACCCAGATGTATGGGAGGGGAGGTTGGAAAGTAAACCTATATCTCTTCCCCTGCAGTATCTTTTATACACACATACATATATATTTATACGGGGAGTGCGCACCAACACGGGCGCCGAGCAGCGCCGCAGTCCGGGGATGCAGCGAGAGCATCTCAGTGTCAAGGCGAGTTCAAGGGATCCAGTTGCAAGGAGCGGTGCCGCCGCTGCTCCAGGGAATGCCGGGTTCCCCCCTTGGAAACGCCGCTGCTGGAAGCCGCAATCGCGGTGGGAAGCCGCGGGTTACGCGGCGCTAAGCGGCCCTCGGCAGCACCTCGGGGCTGGCGGGACAGGCAGCGCTGGGCAAAAACCCGGCGCCCGCTGCCAGGAAACTCGGGAAGGTTCCACTTGGTCGGCAGGGAAACCGGAGGGAAAATGAGGAGAAAAAAAAAAAAATCGGGACGAGATCTTTCCACCTGTTGTAGTCATTAGATTCGTTTGTTTTCTGCAAGCGGGGACTTTTTTTTGCTGGCTGACCAGGCAAGGCCAGCGAGGAACCTAATGCTGGTTTTTCGCGTCGGAAAGAAGGGATTTGGGGGAGCGCAAGCTGGAGAGGCGGAATTTCTAAGAGGTTAATTGATATCTTGGTTGAATTTGCACAGCAGCGTTTCCACAAGGGCCGCGGTGCCCCCTCCCGTGGGCTGCATCAAAACCGCAGGACAGGATTTGTTAGGAAAACCGCAAATCCTTGGGAAAAAAAAAAAAAAAAAAGGAAAAGAGAAAAGTCTCTCTTGTTTGAATTGCTCGGTGAAAAAAAAAAAAAAAAAAGATCTCTGCCCATCCCGATGGGATTTTAATTAACTGCTTGAGGAAGGAGAAGCCCTCGGACACTTTATGCCCGCTTGACACTTTCCGCAGCCTCGCCCAGGCTATTGACACTACCAAAACACATCCTGCTCGTTGCCGGCGTCTTTTTTAGGGTAAATCCTAGCCGCAAATCCCAGCTCCCGCACTCCTTGCGCCCGCCGCGCCTCTCGCTCCTTCGTCCCGCTCCTCCTCCTCGGTCCCCGCCGCCCGCCCGGGTGCCGAAGCCCCGCGGGAGCCCCGAGCGAGGGACGGGGCCCTGGGGTCCCCCCTGCGCCCCCCGGCCGCGGCTCCGCGGGGGCGGCCGCTTTTCCAGGCGGGAGAAACCAGCGCGGAGGCGACTGGAGCTCCGCGGGACCGGCCCCGCGGGCACCTCCCTCCCCGCGGGCCCTTATCCCGCGGGAACGAGCGCTTCCGCGTCCCGCCTTTCCCACTATTCCCGCGGACATCCCCACGCGCGTCCGCCCCCTGGGCGCCCCCGGCTCCACGCGCGGAGAGGCGCCGCCCATACCCCCCCCCCCCCGCCTCCTGCTCCGCTCCGCGCACGGGCGATATATAGGGCGCCCGAGGCGCGCATCCCCCCGCGCGCCCCCGCGCCGCCAGCCACTCTCCGCGGCGGGGCCGTGCCGTGCCGTGCCGCCCAGGCCATGTCCGCGGGCTCCGGGAGCGAGGCGGAGGAGCTGCCCGCCATGGAGCTGCGCGCCCTGCAGCTGCGCTACGCGCCGCCGGGCAAGCGGCAGCCGCGCGGCGAGCCCTACCCGTCGGGGGACAACTCCTCGGCGGAGGAGGACGACGAGGAGGACGAGGAGGACGAGGAGGAGGAGGAGGATGGCGAGGGCAGCGGCGCGGCGGGCGGCAAGAGGAAGCGGCCCCGCGGCGGCGGCGGCGGCGGGGCCAAGAGGGCGGCGGGGCCGCGCGCGGCGCCCGCCGAGGGGAAGCAGTCGCAGCGCAACGCGGCGAACGCGCGGGAGCGCGCGCGGATGCGCGTGCTGAGCAAGGCGTTCTCGCGCCTCAAGACGAGCCTGCCCTGGGTGCCGCCCGACACGAAGCTCTCCAAGCTGGACACGCTGCGCCTCGCCTCGAGCTACATCGCGCACCTGCGGCAGCTGCTGCAGGAGGAGCGCTACGAGGGCGCCTACGCGCACCCCGTCAGCCTGGTACGCGGCGCGCGGGGCGGGCGGGCGGCGCCGCGAGCGGGAGCCCCGCGCCAGCGCCGCGCCCTCGGGGAGGAGGCGGCGCCGGTGCCCGATCCCCCATCCCCGATCCCCGCAGCGGCCCCGGGCCCGGGCAAAGGCCGCTCGCCCCGCGGCACCCGGCGTTGCGCCCCCGGCCCCTCCCCGGGCCTTGCAGGCGGCCGCGACGGGTCAGAAATGCCCCAGACCCTGCGGGGACAACGCGCCGCTGGCCGCAGCGGAGCGGGGCGCCTCGCAGCAGGGGAAAATGTGCCGGGAATGTCCCGGGAATGTCCCAGGAATATCCGCTCGAGAGCCAGCTGCGCCGGGCGGCCCGCGGGGAGCCGCGCGGGAACGGGCCTGCAAGCGAGCGGGCTTAGACCTCCGTCAGTGATAAAGCCCCGGTTCCATACGCAGCTCAACTTCCTAACGCAATTACCTTTTATTTTTTATTTTTTTTTTTCATTACAGACTTGGCCATTTGTGGTTTCAGGACGACCGGACTCTGACTCTAAAGAAGTTTCTACTGCCAGCAGATTATGTGGAACTACCGCGTAGTCCAAGTAAATCGTTTTTGTTGTCGTTGTTGATGATGATGGGGTTTTGTTTTGTTTTTTAATGGGCCCACTCTTCTTAAGAGCTGTGACTTACAGGCTCAAGACTAGAAGACGGTCAGCAAAAAACCATCTCTAACCAGCGGTGTTAAATCTGTGTCCCCCATAATTTCTTTTCCTTAGAACACAGAAGGAAATAAATATGCAGAGAGCTGCACGGAAGGGAGGCGGAGGAGAGGAGGAGGCAGCTGCAGCCTGCGATCCGGGAAGGCCTCTCCCTGGCTTCGTCGCTCTTGTCGCTGCCTCAGGACCTGCTGTTCTGAGGCTGTTAAACTAACGGAGGAGGAATATAATGATGTAGCATTAACAGCATGGACCAAAGTACAACTCTACCGACTAACCCCAACCAGTGTTATCTGTATTCTAAAGCAAAGCAGTATTTTAGAGTAGCTTTGAACCTCAGATAGATTTATAATATATTTTGATGGCTTTTGTACTCATGGATCCGGTTTCCTGCAACTATGCAATAAGTGTAGTCATCCTTTCTGTGTGTCCTTTTAGCCAGGGTTTCCTTAAAGAAATGTAGCTGAGTTGTCCATTTAGGCTGTCATCCTTTGGATCTGGAGGAGGAATTCTGCTAACCATAAAAAAGACTGCACGTGTTGTAAAGAATGGGCTCATATGGTGTTGCAAAAGAGCAAGAATTTGCATTTTCCGTGTTCTTCCTGTACTGTTAGGTTWGTCTATGAACCTTGTTTACCCTCAGATGAGCTCTAGTGAGGTGTCTTCACTAATTCAAATGCTGTAATGAAAGAGAATGCCGTCAAATAAGTTGCAAATGTAAATAATTCTATTTTTTTATAAATGATATTAAAAGCTTTGTTACAATGGCTCCCTGGTGCTGTGATAGCRCGTGGCTGCATCCGTGTAGGATCGTATCGGTAGCGCAGACTCTTAAACCCGGGTCTATAAAAACACTGTGCTCCTCCTCGTGAGAGCGGCAGCATCTCCAGCCACCCCTTCACTCCAAACAGCTCGTGTAGGGCACAGCGCGGTGCCAGTCAGCAGGGCAAAACACAGGCTGGAACTTTATAGAACTCGTCGTTGTAATCCTGCCTGCGAATCAGGAAGGTCAACAAATGTAGATTAAGAAATAGATGCCATTCTACCTTTCCATCTGTAGGCTGTTTTGCTTTTAGTTGTATTTGTGCAGGRAGAAAATGAGCCGAGGTTTCCTAATGCAAGCAAACTTTTCCTGTTTAAAGATTAAAACTCCTAAGATTTTTCTTTTCTCTCAAAATAATTTCTGAGAGGAGAGATGAGGACAAGGACTGAATTGCTTTAGAGAAGAAAAAGCCTCCTCTTCCTTTAAGCTGAGGAGAGGAAGTTAAGCATTTGCTTAACTAGAACTAGCTTAGCCTGGTTTCTTGTCAGGTCACCTCACATCTCTATACAGAAAGTGGGTTTCTGTTTCAAATGCCRTATACAAACCTCAGACTGGCCCTTCGCAGTGTATTGAACATAGAAGAATGGAGGAAATTTGTTTTCCTCCCTGCAAAGGGTAAAATAGTTCTCAACTACCTCAAAACAAAGTTAGGGCTCAGTCCAGGACTTGTTGAAATTGTTGTTTTCAGTGAGCTGAGGGGAAAGGTCCAGTTTATCTTCCAGTTGTATCCAGGAAAAGGCTGTGGAAGAAGGAACACCCTGTGTTTGCAGAGCCGAGGTGGCATCCCACTTGACTGTCCCTAGGAAGCTCCATTAAGAGAAAAGAATATAAAGCCAGTCAGAATGGAAGGACCCTTAGGAAAGAATGAGGAAARGCAACTGATGTTTATCGTTTGCAGTCCCAGAGAAAAGATTGCTCAGCAATTTAACTCGAGATAATCTCAGTTGTGATACTTAGCTGGTTTTGGCCTTCATCCCAGCTATAATTGGCTAAGGACTCCGGGAGACTGGAAAAACAAGGAAGGCATGGAGAGCTTTAAACAGCACAGGAATAGCCATGTGCATTAAGGGAAAAAATGCTCAGGGTAAATTCCCAAATACAAAGCAGCTACATTAAGTAAATACAGTGGGTCAAAACTGGGAGCGAGGAGTGTGGCATGAGGAAAAATGCATTATTGCTGCCATCCATACTACGTGGTCTTAATTACATTTTTTTTTTTTCTCCTGGTCATGTAATATTTAAAAAAATACTTTATTCACAGAATAATGAATGCACTTATTGTGTCTGGTCACTGAACAGCCACATCCATATGTGACAGCCTGTAGTTTTGGAGCATAGAATCATAGAATCATAGA